GATATGGAAATTTCTGAAACTGTAAGAATTATTAAGTAATAAAAGTTATACAGTTTACTATGTCTAAAGTTATCACAATTCAACAACAAAAAATGCTAAAAATCTTACCTCGGGCTTGGAGTAGGGGTTGATTTCTGAGATGGGACCCAAATTAGTGAGTACCTACTATATAACCACTGCTCTGCATGCTATTTCTAGTAATCCTATGAAGTAGATAAGATGATCTTTATTATAAAGACTAGAGGCCCGGTGCACAAAAAATAGTGCACTCGGGAGGGTGCCTCAGCCCAGCCTGTGCCCTCACAGTCTGGGACCCCTCGGGGAATGACCACCTGCTGGCTTAGGCCTGCTCACCAGGGAATTGGGCCTAAGCTGGCAGTCAGACATCCCTCTGGCAGCCCGGGAGCCCTCGGGGGATGTCCACTTGCCAGCGGGGAGCAGGCCTAGCTGCAGTCAGACATCCTTAGCACTGCTGAGGAAGCGGGAGAGGCTCCCACCACCACCGCTGTACTGGCAGCCATCAGCCTGGCTTGTGGCTGAGCAGAGCTCCCCTTGTGAGAGCACACTGACCACCAGGGGGCAGCTCCTGCATTGAGCGTCTGCCCCCTGGTGATCAGTATGTGTCATAGTGACCAGTGATTCCCAGTCGCTCTGCTGTTAGGGTCAGTTTGCATATTACCCTTTTTTTATATAGGATAGAGGTCTGGTGCGTGGGTGGGGCCAGCTGGTTGGCCCTGAAGGGTGTCCCGGATCAGGGTGAGGGTCCTGCTGGGGTGCCTGGCCAGCCTGGGTGAGGGGCTGAGGGCTATTTGCAGGCTGGCCAAGCCCCCCAGCAAGGAACCTCACCCCATGAGGGTGTGGCCGTCCTGGGTGAGGGGCTGATGGCCGTTGGAAGGCTGGCCATGGCCCCCAGTCACCCAAGCTCCCGGCCATGGCCCCCTGTCACCCAAGCTCCCAGTGGATGCTGGCTGGAAGCAGGTATCTGGGATTTATTTAGCTTCTATAATTGAAACTTTGTTGCCTTTTTTGGAGTCCTCAGCCGGCCGGGGCAATTGGGAAGCTTGACTTTCTCCATCGCCAGGGCAACCAAGCCTCCTGCTTGCTCCAGCTCCGTGGTTGCTGGCCGCCATCTTGGTTGAGTTAATTTGCATATAGTCGCTCTGACTGGCTGGTGGGCGTGGCTTGGGCATAGCAAAGGTACGATCAATTAGCATCTTTGTCTTTTATTAGTGTAGATGAGGTCAGAACTCTATATCACTCATCTCAAAGTGGAAAGACCAGAAAAAAAAAGAAGTGGAAAGACCAGGATTCAAGCCTAGGTCTAACACCAAAGTCTATGTTCTTTCCCAAGGGGTTCAGAAGCAGACTCAGATTCTAACAGCCTTGTTGTATGTATTATCCTACAGTTGTTAATGACAATGACACTTCATTGCAGTGATGAATGACAAAATAATTACTAATTGAAGTGGTGAGGAATGGAGGATAGGTGGAGTAGAAAAGGTCCATACACAATGATCTTGTGGTAAATAAAGCAAATAAAACTAAACAGATTTTGAAACATTAATTTGATCTAATTTTAATGCTCACCCCTGGAATTGCCCATTCTCCACAGTCTTTCCTTTTGATTGCAACAAACTGTAAGATGTTTTTCCCAGAAATGGGGTGGGTGATTTTATTTCCACTTTTATCCCTTTTCCACCTGTAAATAGTAATGTACAATCATAACCAATTTAGAACAAAAGCCAAGATTCTAGCTCAAGCTTGAGTCAAAGTTATAAAGATGTATTTCTCTTTATAACAGAATACACACAAATTTACCTCAAAATCAGCTTTTTTTACCAAAAAAAATATTTTGTTTTAGAAATATGTCTACTTTCATAATGAAAATTCAAATATAAACAGTTTTTACAGTACTAAAATATAACCAAAAAAATAAGTTTAAAACCAGGACAGAATTTACAGGAAGGGTCACAGAAGTTTTTTAGTTTTTTGTTTTTTTTTAAGTCCATGGATCCTTTTTAAGAATTACAAGTAGTATAAAAGATCTGGTAATACTTGCTTTTTACAGTTATCAGAAAAGCAGATTATATGATACAGATTTAGCTATTCTTAAAAGTAGTGATTCTCAATCTTTATGGTCCTTTTTTATTTAAAAATATCTCACTCTATCCTTAGTTTCATTTTAAGTTTTGAATTGTATATGGTGTTTTTAAATAGTATCAAGGCTATGTTAATTTCAGAATGCACTTTTTCTAACCACAGCTTCTTCCCCAGAGATATTGATAAATCTCCCCCCTTCCCCTGTCCTACCCTCACCACATTTACCTCCTTCCACCCAATTTCAAAAATTGTTCTAATAACTCCCTTAGGCAAAGAGAAAGATTTTGAACTTCTAATACTAAACTAATACAGTTTTATTGATTTCAGAGGGAAAGGGAGAGGGAAAGATAGAAACAACAATAATGAGAATCACTGATCAGCTGCCTCCTGCACACCTCCCATTGGGGATCGAGCCCACAACCCAGGCATGTGCCTGAACAGGAATCAAACCTTGACCTCCAGGTTCATAGCTTGCCACTCAACCACTGAGCCACACCACACTTTGTCAGAATGTCGTCCTGTACACCAAAAAGTTGCAGGTTCCATTCTGGATCAAGGCACATACCTAGGTTGTGGGTTCAATCACCGGTAGGGGCACTTACGGAAGGCAACAGATCAATGTTTCTCTCTCACGTTGATGTCTCTCTCTCTCCTTTCCCCGCTCTCTAAAACAAAAAATCAATTAAAAAACAACCAACCAAATCCTCGGGTGAGGATTTTAAAAAAGGGAGAGAGAAAGCACAATATTTACAGCCAATACCTGATTCAAATTTCAGATCTACAAGATTTAGGCAAGTCATTTACCCTCAGTGAGTCTCCATTCAGGTATACAAAACAGATGTGTTAATACCTTCTTTGAGGAATTTTGTCAGAAACAAATGGAAAAACTATTAACACCTAGCAAAATACCTAGACTAGAGCTATATTTTAATAATTTGTTTAGTCTTGTTGATTTTTCAACATCTTTCATTCTTTACTTCCTTCCCTTCCCACAACCACTCCTCTATTTAGAGGAGCTCATCACTTAATATATGCATTACTGACACAGCAAAGAACATCAACCTAGGAGTACTGCTGAAAGCTAGATGTCACCACTTGTGGGCTCTTCTATAGCCTGGACCATCATCTCTAAGGCTTCAGTTCTCTCACCTGTGTAATGACAGAGATATGCTCATAAAGTCTACATTTCAAAAAACATGACATAAAATTGCCATGTTTAATCAGAGCTCGTATTTGGTCTACCACAGATAAAGATAAGCTAATTAGAGGCTAACTTTTAATTCTCTGGCTTCTTTTGCTGCTTCTTGTCCCCTTATTAGCATTCCTCTTTCAAATGTTTCACACCTTCCTGCTTTTAGCAAGCCTCACCAAAATTAGGAAGAAACTGATGCTGCCATTAATACTTACATTATTTTATTTATATTCATTAATAAGAATATACTTTACTCCTAGTTGTAGAATTTCCACTCAGCCAGCCCTCCTGTGGCTCTGGATGTTGTCCTTTCCCTGGTTCAAGCTTAATTTGAATTGGTTGTTCAAGGCAGCAATCTCTGGTGTTAACCTATGCCGCCATCTTCGGTTCTCTCAGCATTCCTCTTTCAAATGTTTCACACCTTCCTGCTTTTAGCAAGCCTCACCAAAATTAGGAAGAAACTGATGCTGCCATTAATACTTACATTATTTTATTTATATTCATTAATAAGAATATATTACTCTTCCTATCTCATTTAAACTGTAGTTTCTAAAGTAAATTAGATGAATAGATAGGCATGTTGATAGGTTTTGGGTTCAATCAGCTCTGGACTTGATCCAGGAGTAGATAGGTAGGTAGTTAGATGAGTGGATGGATGGATGGAGGAAGGATGGAAGGAAGATAGATAAATGGATAGATGAAAGATAAAACTGAGGTGCAATACAAAGGACTAAGATTAAGATCCCTTTTGGCAAAGGAATAGAAAGGGCAAGTAAAAGAATCAGATGGGGTGAGTATTGGTACCCCTTCCAATAACCTGAAAATAAGAAAAATAAGCTGCTTTCCTAGAGTTAAATTATGAAATCATTATTATATCTCAGATGAGAGAAAAACAAAGTCTGTGAGAAGGAAAGGCCCTTAAAATATCAAAACTAAAAAAGTAAGAATATTGAGATTATTTGCATTACTTAAAGAGGAAAAGTAACAACTACATGTGAGAAGAGAGTTGGTCAGTGAAGAAATCCTAAAAATAAGAACAACTAATTTTAAGGATGACAGGGATGACAGAAAATTCCAGATGTGTTAGAAACATTGTTACTTATGCTAAGTCTACCTAAACATTAGATTCATCTTTTTTATTCTGATATCTGCTCACCAAGGAACTTTCAGTGTATGATTTAGCCTATCAGATAGATCTGCCTCGGAAAGAGAGTGCCTTTTCCCTGTTATGAAACCTTCAATGTCTCCAGTTCACATTTCTTAACTTTGGCATTTAATATTCTCCACAAGAAAATTGCATAAAAGTTAATTTTAAGTTTAATGTACCATTCACTATTCTCCTACAAGAATCTAACCATACTGGTCTTTTCATTGTCTCTCAATACTCAAATAGGTATTACTACAAGGTTTTTTCTTAGGCCTCCTCCTGTCCCCAATCCAGGCCTCAAGTTCAACTCTAATCTACCTCCTTCATAACACCACTCTCAGGTACACCGGTTTACCATCATCCTGCCCACATGCAATCTTCTAATTCTCTAAAGCAGTGGTTCTCAATCTTCCTAATGCTGCGACCCTTTAATACAGTTCCTCATGTTGTGGTGACCCCCAACCATAAAATTATTTCATTGCTACTTCATAACTGTAATTTTGCTACACCCCTGTGAAAGGGTCGTTCGACCCCCAAAGGGTCGCGACCCACAGGTTGAGAACCGCTGCTCTACAGCATCCTGTATGACCCATGTTACTTAGACTTGTTTTCTTATTTCATATCTTCCATCTTGCAAATGAAGCCATAGCTCTTCAATGACAGGGAGCAGAAATTTAGAACTGTTATACTTTTTTATATCCTCCAAAGCGCCTACTCAATTCTGAGAACAAATAGATGCTCAATAAATATCTTGATGAATTAACTTTGTTTAGATAATGCCTAACCTAGTCATACAACAAACTACAGCTTCACACTTATATCACATCACTGTAATTTTACATAAAGTCCTTTTAACATATAGATTTTATGTGTGTACATATGTATATGTTTGTATGTGTACATATATAAACATGTGTATATACAAACATATAGAAACATGTATACTAGTATATACAAACACATAATACATGTATACATATGTGCATACACCTGTATCTGTATATGTAAACACATGGTTATAGTCTGTATTTTTTCAATCACTTAGCTCTCTGCTACTGAAATGTTTTTTAGTTCTTACCTGGTTATGATGGGATCTGCAGCATGATTTGGGCCCCATCGCCCCAAAAGCCCTCGGCCAACCAATCCTGTGCGTCCTGCAGGGTTTCTGGGAAAAAAAAAAATCAACTGAATGGGTTCATCCTTTTTAACCTAACTTGATATGACTCAATAAAAGGTAGTAAGATCAATAAAAGGAAAACAGTCTCCCTCCCTAATTCAGTAGCACTATCACACATCTGTACTGAAAGCACACACTGCCTTACATGGATTGTTATTGAACTTTCCTTTGTGCATGTCTTCAGCTCTGGACTTGATCCAGGAGCAGGGTCATCTCCAAAGCTGTTCTACGATATAAGAATTTGTCACCTGTACTCCTAATTTCAAACTAAAACGTTACTGGACTCTTAAATCTTGGAGGATAAAATGCTCTGCACCTAACCATCTATCTCTAAAGCAATGACCATTTATTCAGTACGCTCACATTTCTCTTCACTTTCTCATCAGCCTCTTTTTTTACTCCACTCTCCTATAACCCTTTCCATTAAAATATTTTTTGTTACATTTTGAAGTCCATTTTTCCCTCAGTGTGTTCTGAATTTTTATTACCAGTAATATGTATTTTGTAGCATATAATGTAGTAGTATTAAACATCTCAAAATTTCAAGTATTCAATTTTTAAAGAAAACTATTTTATAAAAATGCCAACTTACCATTTAACCTAATGCCATAACCCAATATTACAAAGTCTGTCAAATAAACCTAACTCATGCCTGAGTGTTTTTCTTCCAATCAATATTCCTTAAATGTTCAACTTTCATCATTATGCATCAATAAAATGCCCCAATCCACAATTTTAACCTCTGTAACATTATATCTTTTGTCCTCCTAGTAGATAAAAGCAAATAACTTGCCAAAATTTTTCTTTCAACCATCTCTTCTTATTCTGGTCTGTTATTAAAATTAAATGAATTTTTATCTTATTTTGTACTGGACTTAGAAATATTTCAGCACAACATGCAGATAAAGACAGAAAGACAAAACACCTGGCCAGGTGACAATAATTCTACTTTGGGCCACTTGAAATGATCCTATAGGGCCTAGACTAAAGATAAATCTCACTGTTTGCTCTAGGCAAACTAGAGTTGGTTTCTATTAGTCCAAGAGTCTGGACTAAAGCAACAAGCTACTTGGTTTTGATGCCTATCCTTTTCTATGTGTACGTCTCTTTTAATATATTTTACCAAGAAAAGAACCTAAGGAATAAGTTAAATACAAGGACAGTTTGACTTAAAAAAGATCCAGTAACATACAAAAGTGAGTAAGTTATGAGCAAAGAAAGAATTTAGCAAAAGTGAAGGACCAGGTTGCAGCAGGAGGAGCATAACTATTAATTTCCTTGTCCTAGAGAACCTAAGAACACAAATTGCAACATTTTTGCAAGGTGAGAATCATGATTACAAAACTGTGAACCTCCCTTTGTTTTATTTGGGGTGTGCTAATTTTTACATTTCTCCTAAAGTTTTATAATGCCTTCTTAAAGAAAATGGAAATTTTTGGAATTGTGGAGAAAAATCCTTTTTAAAAGTATACAAAGATTTTTGATATTACATTATTGGGTTATTTTTATTCTTACGTTTTGATAATTCTTACTTTAAGGCATTATCACATTTAATAAATAACTACTTAACATACAATTTTCAATCCTTTCTCTGTTAACTTATTCAATTATTTCTACCTTCAAGGTTGAGTTACAAAAAGATGCACTCAGATCCTGCCTCTGCCATTCTCTCTCTTCATCTGTAAATGGAACTAGAAATATCAACCCACAGAGTTATTGCGACAATTTAATTAGATCACATATATAAATTCTTTTGTACAAAGTCTGGCACATACAAGCACTTGATAATTGTTCATTATATTTTTTACCTTTTAAAGACCCACTATTATAAAAAGTTCCATTCCCAGTACCTACCTAGGTCTTCCATTTTCAATCTCATACCGGCCATTCTGGCTCTTTCTCTCAACATGCCCATCTTTTTCATTAAACTTGGGAGAAAAGTTACTTTCACTGTAACGAGAATACCGATGCAAAATAAGAAATAATAGTCGAGTACTACCAACAGCTTAATAATGCCAGTCTGTTATTTATAATAAGTAGTATCCCTGAAATTAAAAATTTTAAGGCTTAGTTTTCATTTATAAATCCATCTGACCCCTTCAAAACAGTTTCTGAGAAAAAAAATCTGTTAACCAAAACACTTTTCAATACAAGGATGTGTAACATTGCCGGGAGCCGGTCCATCCTTGCTGTTTCAAGGGACCTGGCATATATGGCATACTGTTCTTAATATATTTGCTCACCTTCTTGGCTCTGTGTTTTAACCAAGGTCACCTCTCCAAGAAAGGTTGTTTCCCCAGGTAGGGATTTTCCCCTGAAGTTAG